AGTGGTGTTGTGGGCTTCATGCCCTCAACACTCGCGCGGAGGCTGGTTCCCAGCCCCACGCGAACAGGGGAATCCTCTGGGCCAGCCAATCGGCTGGCTCGGGGTGTGTGGCTTGCCACATTTAAGGAAAGCGCGGCAGAGGCCCTTCCTCTTTGCCGCCAATCAGCTGGGGAATTTCCCACCCACCCACCCAGCCTTTAAGGTTTCTCCTTTGACCTTGCTATGGACTTCAGTTGGTTGCTGTTAAGGGGGCTGGTAGGAATTTTTCCACATGGCAAATTGGCACCAGCCATTGGTTTTTTTTTGCCTACCTCGTGGCAAATCGTCACAACTTCCTCAGTTTGGCGGTTAGGCATTGGTAGGAGAATTGTTATGTAGATTAACGGGGGGGAGGAGTGCCATCACCTCCCCCGGTTTGTGAAGGGTAGTCCAGTAAAGGATTCGGGAGGGCCTGGCCACGTCCAAAGCCTATGGAGGCCAGGGCCCAAGGCAAGCCCCCGAGTGGTGACCCTGGGGGAGTGCCTAGTTGATGTGCGTCAGCAGGGCTCCCCCTGCTGGTGTTAACCCTTCCCGGCCTTCAGGCAGACAGACTGAAGCTGGATAGTCAATTAGGACCAATGCCTAAAGCCAATACCGCTCATCACCTGTAACCAATAAAGTTGTGGCCAATTTTAGCCCGTTTGAGAGCCAGTGTGGTGTAGTGGTTAAGAGCGGTAGTCTCCTAATCTGGGGAACCGGGTTCGCGTCTCCGCTCCTCCACATGCAGCTGCTGGGTGACCTTGGGCCAGTCACGCTTCTTTGAAGTCTCTCAGCCCCACTCACCTCACAGAGTGTTTGTTGTGGGGGAGGAAGGGAAAGGAGAATGTTAGCCGCTTTGAGACTCCTGAAGGGGAGTGAAAGGCGGGATATCAAATCCAAACTCTTCTTCTTCTTCTTCTTCATTTAGAAACAACGTGTCTCGTGTCTTTATTTTCACTGGTGGGAGGCGGGAACTCACCACACAAATCAGAATGACTATTTACAGCTGGATGGGGTACCACCTGTAGTGGCCACTGAGTTGATGTGGAAGGAGCTCTGTTGCTCCCCTGGCTTGCCAACACAGCAGGTCACTGGTGCTTCCCAAGAGTGCAGGGGAGAGGCTTAAGTCGGTGGGGCTTGGTGTGGTGCAGGCACAGCATAGATGAAGCATCAGGAGCATCAAACAGCAACCTGCTGTGTTGGGAAGCCAGAAGAGTAACAGAGCAGCACCTCCCTCACCACCTCACTGGCACCTACCAGGTACAACGCATACCCAAGGGTGCTGTGTGCACCCTTCCTCTTCCTGATCTGTGCATGCAATGCCTTCCAAAAGCAGAATGATACTACCCGGCTGTTCAGGAGAGGAAGTAGGAGATGGAATTAGTCCCAACCATTGTCTTTTCCCTGTCAATCAAACAGGTTCTGTAGGGACTTTCAACTTAAAAATAAAAAAATAAATAAAGGGAATTGTACTGTGTTGGTGCTGACCTTTAAAGCCCTAAATGGCTTCGGTCCTGTATACCTGAAGGAGCGTCTCCACCCCCATCGTTCATCCCGGACACTGAGATCCAGCACCGAGGGCCTTCTGGTGGTTCCCTCATTGCGAGAAGTGAGGTTACAGGGAACCAGACAGAGGGCCTTCTCGGTAGTGGTGCCCACCCTGTGGAACTCCCTCCCTTCAGATGTGAAGGAAATAAGCAGCTATCTTCTCTTTAAAAGGCATCTGAAGGCAGCCCTGTTTAGGGAAGTTTTTAATATTTAATGCTGTATTGTTTTTAACACTAGATTGGAAGCCGCCCAGAGTGGCTGGGGAAACTCAGCCAGATGGGCGGGGTATAAATAATAAATTATTATTATTACATCCAGCCTTGATTTGTCTGTATGAGTTCTGTTGTATCAGAGCTTTCCAGTCCCATTGCAAATAGAATAATACATTTGAGGCATATTGAAATTTAACAGCTATACTTCTTTGTTTGTTGTTTGTTATTGGGGGTAGTGATTTTCTCATTAGGCAAGGTGTCTCTGATATATCATTAAACAGGACTCATCATGTTTTCTAGTAGAAACACTGGGAAAAGAATCTCTTCATTAGTCTGCAGAAGGCTCCGGTGATGGAAGGCTCTGTTCCTATGAATGCTCCAGTGCACTGATTTACATGGTGTTATTTTTGCAACAATTACAATTATCGTGTCAATGGTCTTCGGACATGTTCAACCCTTGATTATAATCCACATTACACTTTTGTGTGTGTGTGTGGACAGGTATGGACAGTATCTGTCAGCACAGATTAAACAAGATTAAATTAATAGTCAACTGGACACCAACAATGGGGAAAGAAATAGCCAGATGCTTTTAGAAATTTCTGTCACAGCTATCCTGTGTGTAAGGACTAGGTTTCTCAATTGGTCCCGTTTTAGACTACAGACAGGTGCTCATGTGAGGAGCTACTCCTGAACATAGAAAACTAACTTAGTAGGGAGAAGGTTAGGACTGAGCCCCCATTTCTGCATTTAGTTTTCTTTTTGAGGAGCATTCAAGTGGGGCACATTCTGAGATAAGGACCTACACTTACATTACCTCCTCTAGGTCTGGCCCAAGACATGTAGACATGTGAAGCGAAGCACAAAATGCCCCCATCCCACCCTGCGGGGGACAAGTGAGGAGTGAAAACCAACATTGGGAACTGGGGGGGGGGAATCAAATCACCCTTACCCGACAGTCAAAGTGGGAGAATCAAAGGCCATGCTGAGGGGTGGGGAGGAAGGGGCCAGCTCTGAATCACTCCAGGTGGATGCAGACCCTAGAAGACCCCAGAGGGCAGCCACCATAATTTCAGTTTTGTTGAAATATGGCATCCTTTTATAAAACACTTTACTGGCTAATCTGAAGAACGGCAACTACCAAAATCACAGATTGGACTTCAGCAAACTTGACTAGATTGATCCACCCTGGAAGGGGGCAAGTTGGGATTTTGTTTTGTCCTTCTCTCTCTTTTTGTAATTGTTATATATTAGAAATCAATAAAACTATATTTTAAAAATATTCCTCCTCAGTGGTGGGAGGAGACCAGCAGTGCCCCCTATTTTCCAAGAGACTACGAGGGTGGGGCTGTGAGGAGGAGGCAGATTCAGCCTCCAAGGAGTGCACTGCCGCCATCATTGCCATCTTACAAACAACAGCATGAAATACATTCCTTGGAAGCTCGATCTGCTGCCTCTGTGGATCCTGCCTGCCAATGCAGTCACCTCACCTCGCCTCATGGGTGAGCCAGCCCTAACCTCCTTGGCCTCTTATATCTAAAGAACTGTACAAACACATACCCCACAACTGCCCCCTTTTTGACCGGTACATTCCGGATTTACACAAGCCACTCCCAGAATACCTCAGACATTGCCAATAGCAACAAAGGCTTCCCCTCCTTACCTCTGGTCAACATGGCGGTGTCCAAACACTGAAGCTGGCTCACCACTCCACCTTCCATTTTCCCTTTCTATGTTTCCTGTGGAGGTCTGTGGGTGGGGAGTCAAAGTGTGCAGTGATGGTGGCAGATAGGCAGGCATGCGAGTTAGCTGGACGGTGATAGCAGCTGCAAGAGGGATGGTGGAGGAGCCGCCACGCTAAGAAAGACTCAGGAAGAGGCCTAAGGACATGGGCATGCAGGAAGGGTAGGGGACAGATATAAACATTACAAGTTTACATTCAGACAATTTGTACAATCATTTTATGAGATTCTCTGAATCTCATGACTTCCCCCCTTCCCCTACATGGGTCCTTGAAACAAAAATTAAAGCTGCATATCAACACATTCTCCACAATTTTCATTTTTCCAAATTATCTATAATCTTCATTACTTTACAAGTGTTTCTTGTAGTCCAGCTAGGGTTTTAATTTGCTTACAATGTTCTCCTAACTAATAAAATTTCCCCTTGTCTTCTTGATTACTGAGTCTTCCCGTTAGTTTTGCCATTTCAGCATAGTCCAACATCTTGGCCTGCCATTCTTCCCTTGTTGGGATTATCGCTTCTTTAGGGGACAGATATCAAGGCTGCAGCTGGAATGTGGAAGGAGGGAAGTGGGAAGGGCGACTGTTTTCTGGGAGAAGGGCAGCTGGGAGGCAGGTGGGCAACTCAAACGGGGAATTGGGAGCTGTGTAATTCAGTTCTTTTTTTTATCCCAGTTTTGTTACTCATTATATAACCAATCTTTATTTTCAGATTTAATAGCACTAAAGGTCACTTTTCACATTCACATAATGAAATAACAATGTTTCCATCAAGCCCTTCAGGGTTCCAAAAATGTTGTTTCATATAGTTTAATTCAAGCCATGTTCTGAATGAAGTTTGGACTTTGGTTTATATTGGAAATGCTTTTACAATTTTGCATGCATGTATGTATATACAGTATGTCTTTTAAATGGTTTTAATATTGGGGTTTTACTACCTTTGCAAGTCACTTTGAGTATTATTCTTCATGAAAATGTTACCTAAAAATAACTATTAAAATGTGATGCTCCCTTAAGGCTGAGATCAAGCATTATTTTACATTTTAATAGAAGTACTAGATATAGGCCAGGCCCACATATGGTGCAAATCAACCACACTTCACTGGAGATGGTGAAGCTGGGTAGATTGATACTAGAAGACCCAAAATGTCACTTTACCATCTGTGATTAATTGCTAAATACAACCGCAGTGGCTTGGATCAGTGACCTGGAAAAACTACAGTATACCTAATAAGGTTCTTCCAGTAACCCTTGCCAAGGTTTTCACCCTCCCTGAAGGCTACCTTGGCTTTTATAGATGAGTAATTGCACTACATCATCCACTGACAGTCTTACTTGAGAATCTGCTGCTGGCTAAAGCATCGGATAATAGTTTTGTATTATTGTATTGAATTGGCTACTATATATGGACGGTATGCTGAAGAAAGAGGAAGCTATTTCAATAACCTTTTCAACTTTCTTTTTTTATTCCCCGCTGCAGCCTACTTGTAAAGATTAAAAAATGCCGCCCGCAATGACGCCACAGTACGCTCCCCCGGACGGTGGATGGGGTTGGGTCGTGGTCTTTGGCAGTTTCATCTCCATTGGATTTTCTTATGCATTCCCTAAAGCCATCACAGTCTTCTTCAAGGAGATACAGGAGATCTTCGGCACATCATATAGCCAGATAGCTTGGATATCATCGATCATGTTGGCTGTCATGTATGCAGGAGGTATATGAGAACCTAACTTCTTTTTTGCCTGTCAGATGGTCTTACAATATTAAGCAAAGTTCTGCTCCGTGATTTTGCAGTTCATGGCTTCTCTAGATGTGTTTTCATAAAGAACCGCATATTATTTTCTTCTGCTTCCTCTCCTAAACCCTTCCAATAACTATCACTCTCTGAATGCATGAGCGTTCATTTCAAACAATGATGCAATTGGTTTTGCTGCCGTGTATCGTGCAGAAGTGAGGGCAGAAGGCCCACTGGGATCTACTAGTGGTTGGCCATGTGATTTAAAGTAGACCAGCAAGGATTTCTGATTCCCTAGTGTGTAACAGAGGTAAGAACAAAATGACATCAAGGAAATAAGGGGAAATGGCCAGGATAAGGTATGGATTTTTGTTTGGAGCGGCTGTGGAACTCAGTTTAGCTCTAGTAAACGGTAAGGGGACCCCTGACCATTAGGTCCAGTCGTGACCGATTCTGGGATTGCGGCGCTCATCTCGCTTTATTAGCTGAGGGAGCCGGCGTACAGCTTCCAGGTCATGTGGCCAGCATGACTAAACCACTTCTGGCGAACCAGAGCAGTGCATAGAAATGCCGTTTACCTTCCCACCGGAGTGGTACCTATTTATCTACTTGCACTGGCATGCTTTCGAAATGCTAAGTTGGCAGGAGCAAGGACCGAGCAACGGGAGTTCTGGTGTCATAGGTTTTTTTTAAAAATTCTAAGTGTCTTTTGTATTGGCAGATCCTAGGGTTTTAGGAAAACAACAACAACCCCAAAATAGATTCCAGAAGTCTTAAGTCTGCCCATCCCTGATATAAGAGATGGAGAAGTTAAGAAAGGGGAGCTAGGTGGACTACCAAAAAGCTCTCTGTAAGCAGATGCTGAGATCAATAAATCAAGCAAAGCACAATCATGAACCAATAGATGGAACACGGTATCAAGTTTTATGGATTGATAAAAACAATAGGAATAGTGATCCTGGAAAGTTTACTGCTGATAGACATGTCACACTGAAATGGAAAGTAATGGATAGTAGAAGTCATTGAATAAAGTAACAGAGCAGGCAACTGACTTTGACCGGCAGCTGTTGAAATAGTAGCAAAAAATAGAAGTAACTGTTTGTTTTGCTTTTTTAATGAACAAAATGAAAGATGATTAGGATTTGAACCAGCCTTACTCTGCCTGAAGTCCTCAAGATGTTTTGGCATGCTGGTTGGGGGTGATGGGAGTTGTAGTTCAAAACACCAGGCTGTGGAAGGCTGCACCAGGCTGTGGAAGGCTGATTTAAAATATGACCAATTAATTTGCTGCTTAGCAATTTGCTACTTTGCTAAGGTTCATGGGGTACCTTAACTTTCCCGTTTATTGGAAAATATAGCATTATCAAACAACTCAAGTAATACTGTAATTTGATTCCATTTTTTATCAGCATTGTCTTTTCTGGTTGACGGAGAATGTTAGAACCCTGACTCTTCACCCTGTTGATTTCCTGTGTGTCTTCTTGAAGACTTTGCTTGCAACCACCCCTGATGCTAATGGATAAATTTCATGCTGCCTCTCAGTTTAGCACTGGCATCGACCAGTTTCCCATTGGTGTCACTATCTCTTAGGATAGGAGAACATCTTGAGAACGTCAGAACAATTCATCTTTTTTGTAGCATTTCATTCCACCTTATACTGCACAGTACATAGAAACCTAGAAATGTTATCTGCCTGTCCAGAATAAATATCAAGCATAAAAATAAAAAATAAAGGATTTTGAGCAAGCTCCACATTCTATAGCAAAAGTAACAAGTTAAACAGTGAAGCGGTTATTTTCTTATCTTGCTGTATGGCTTTAATGTGCTAGCAGCAGGTAGCCTTCCCAAAGCTAAACATTCTTTGAAGCCACAGCCACCACAAAATAGCTTTCCAATAAATAAAGCATCAAACAATCACTGGCAGAGGATGAAAAAAAGCAAACAATTATAATAATGTTTGGGAGGGAGTTATTCCTTTGGGTTGTTGCTTTTCCTATCAAATTTGATTGTTTGATTTTTAACATTTGTTGTACTATTGCTTGAATGAAAGCAGGAAAAACATAGCATGTCAGGTACCTTGTTTATGGCGAAGCCTGGCAGATATCTTGAAAATGTTGTGGGCACACTGTGTATCTCTTAATGCTAATTAGGAAGAACCTGAAAAACATTTGAGATCTGACACACTCATTATGATTTAGCGCTCTGCCTATTAATCTTCACAGCGGGGTCGTTGGGTAAGTGAGAGTCTAAGACTGAGGATCTCTGCTTCGGAGACTTCAGCCTCCTGAGGTAATTAGCAGGCATCTGTGTTTCGGTAACAAGGTATTAACTTACCTTTCAATATCTGGGAAAAAATGAAACTAATAAAAGACATCCAGGAAGGAGCTAAAGGAATGTTAATTATGTTTATCACTTAACTTCATACTTCGAATAAATGTCATGAAATTATAGCAGGCCATCTGGCAAATCCATATGGTCTCCTGGATTCGTGGTTAATTCCAACAGATAGGTCAAGCACAGTGTTCATCCCCACCCCACCTCCTTCAAGAAAGCAGAGGAAAGATGTGCAAAGTTGAATGAATCAAGTTCTGTATAAAAATTTCACTTTGCCCCTTAGGCACGCTGTGGATCTGCTCCTCTGCGGAGCACATTTGTCAGTAGGAGGCTTCCTTATTTGTGTTTCCATGGCTCTTTTCTTCTTCTTTTCAGCCACAAGACTTTCTCAGTAAAGTCAGTACAAAGATCCTCAGTTAGTTGGGTGTTGCCCTAAACTAAAAGTATAGTATGGCAGCTCGGTCATCTCAGGCATGCCTGACTGCTACGTGAGTCTAACGACAAGTAGGAAGTAAAGCTATTTTGCTGCCATTTTCTCCCTCATTAAATTCAGACACTTTCCAAACCTTCATTCATATGGTGGGCTAAATAGTACCTTTCCCCTGCAAAAAAAAAATAAATAAATAGCATACTATCATCAGGATTTGGACATACAGTGGGATGGCACAGGACAATCAGTGCACACTTATATATATTTTGCTTTTAGTTTTATACTTAAATCTCCCATCATTTCACAGGAATGAATTGCTTTTCAATTTGTTATGAACACTGGGAAATAAATAAATCCCACAGCTGTTTGCCCATATTCATACATTCGTTGCACAGATGTACTATCTGTAACGTGGTTACAAATTGTCATAGTGCAATTGTAGTTTATCTACACTTTGAAAGAAAGTAACATGCCTCTGGTTCTCATGACCAGAACACCTGGATTGTGTGTGATAGTTCCAAGAACCAAAGGAAGACAGAGATAGAATTTCATCTTCATTCTCCCCCAACCTCTGGACTTCCTTTCAATTCATGCCCTACCATCTCTCTTTCTATTAGCCATCTCACACCCCCAAAATTCCAAATGGTATGTTTTTTGGAAGCAGGATACATTGCAAACAAAGAGGAAGTATCTGCAGATTTACGTGATCTGCTTTTCTGCAGAATTCAGTTTTCCTCCTTTGATACGTTCTTTGGATACCATATTGCATTTTACTGTGGAAACCGTTACAGCTTTGTCACAAATATCTGCCTTTTAAGGTTACCTTAAACTGCAGCAAGCTCCTGTTGTTTTTGTTCATAGGACAACTAAAAAATAGTTCAGTGGTAAGCTCTTGGGGTTTATTTTGAAGGTTAATTGGAAAAAGAACATTTCATTTGCTGTGTTCAGAATATTTGCTAATGTTACTCAGTAGGCTCTCAGTACATCATGTGGGGAGGCTGTGTTGAAAGTTTAGTTAGCAAAAGAAGAGAGAGGGGAAATAACATATAATAAATCAAGTAATGGTGCGGCGAAAATGAATAAAGGGGAATTGCCTGCCCTTCAAAACACGAGCACTCAGACTAGTGATTGGCAGCAAGTTCAGAACAAGCAACGCATTATCAGTTTATGGAACATATTGTCAAAGGATATTGTGATATCACTAGCGTGAGTGGTTCTTTAAAATGTTTTTAGACAATTCTAGAAGGCTAGGCTTATCAAACTGAAGTGGCAGAACTTCCATATTCAAGGTCAGTGCACGTTTTGTTAACGTATGCTGGGAACAAACAGCAGAAGAGAATTATTTCCATCCTCTGTTCTGCCTTTATTGTAAGCGGCAAGGGGCAGCCATTGTTGGACACGGAGTGCTGAACTATGTGGTCCAAATCCAACAAGGCAATTCAGACATTTTTAGCAACATTACTGTGAAGATAAAATGGTATGCACTGCAAAAATGACAGTTGCAAAATTCATGTAACACAAACACCAGATGGCTGCCTTTAAAAAAAGAAAAGACAAAGACAAACAAAACAAAAAGTTTTTCATATGGCTAACTAAGACTCCAGAAATTATTTCCCTAAACCATCAATAGTATCTTCTCAGTTAAGACATTGGTTTTGAGAAAACAAAATGGGCAATGACTGGGAAATTGCTTGATGTGACCTTTGTGTCCTTTGCTGTGTGGGACAAACTTTTACCCTCTATTAGGATATATACAGCCTTGAATTTTAAGAACCTCATTTAGTGTGCCCTTGAAAACACAACTTCCCAATTTCCAAATGCCTCCTGGGCGTGAGGGACTACTTCACATTTGGGTGTTTTTTTTACACACAGAGAGACAGACATTTTTACATCATGCTGAATTAATTTGATATTTGCTGGTAGAGGTGACAAAGTAGTAGGAATTGCGACTTTTGCTGCCAAACCTAGACAAAAACACCAGAACTAGTTTAATGGAGTGTGTGTGTGTGTGTGTGTGATCAGAATTGTTCAGGAAAAGAAGTAGAATGGAAGCATTGAAGGTGACAGCTAAATCATCCTTCCAATATTATTAAAGTGATGCTTCTGCATTTTTAAGAATCTAAAATACTGAGGTTGCTGGACAAATGTAGATAAATTCAATTGTCAATATTGTATCAAAAACTTTCTCAATAAATAAATATCGTTTTCAAAGAAA